CCACTGTGCCACATCCTACGTATTGTTTCATTCTTCTTGCCATCTTACAACTGACCTTTCCCTTACCTGTCTTCTCTCAGCCACAGTAAGGATTGGGCCTCTTCTCTCATAAAGCTCTTTTCTTTCCACTGCCAAAACATGCAACGGAATACATCAAGTGAGGGTCCATAAGGCTGCCGCAGACACAGTCCTATAGAAGCATGCCACTCGCAACAGACTTGTTCTGTCTACTCGTTTCATAAGACTCCTATAGGCCGTTATCTCTACCGCCTCGCTCCAGACTGGTGCTGCGTAGAGGACGATGGACTGTACAACACCGTGTAAGACCCTTCTCCTTTCGGATTTGGGTCCTCCAATATTCGGCAACACTCTTCCCAAAGCAGCCGCACTATTCGCAGCCTTTCGAACCACCTAACGAAAGTGCTTCCCCCATTTTCCATTCTGGTGCAATGTCACTCCTAGATACTTTACTTGTTTCTTGGGTGTTAGACATACTCCCGCACATTTTAATTCAACACCTTGCCTGTTCCTTGCCCCCTTCAGAATAATAGCTTCGGTTTTCTCTGTCGCAAGTTTTAGTCCGTGCTGCGTCCTCCATTTCTTTACGACGCCACCTGCATTTCGAACCCGGTATTTGAGATCTGGCTCATCCCGGGCTACTACCAGTACAGCGAGGTCATCCGCGAATGCGAAGGGGGTTGTACCCTCTCCGTATTCACAGTGAATAACCCCGTCATATGCCAGATTCCATAGCGGCGGGCCCAAGACAGATCCCTGGGGTACCCCGGCCGTCACGTCCACGATCGTGCCCTTTTCCACCATAATCCTTCTATCGGACAAATACTCCGCCACAACATTCATCAGGTAACCAGGACATATATCTATAGTTCGAAACACCTGGCTTACACGTTTTAAAAACTACTGTTACTTCGAAGTAAATACTAAACCGATCGCTACGACACTGCAGAACTATGCTTGTTCTACGCTGTTAAGAACGTATTTAAAAGGCCAGTGCATGCGATCTACACTGTTGCCTCCATTAGCAGACTATCGTTTCGCTTCGTTAACATTTTTTAAGGATGCAGACATTTTTGTCATTTGTTAACTTCCTTATATCCATCTTCACAAACCCTTAATTTGAAATAGAGAGCATATCTAATGTGGCATATAATTAGAGATGACTTCGACGGAGTACTTAGGCATCCATGCATTTTTTTTAACTAAATTTTTGTAATACATTATCAATCTATTAAAAAATTTAAATTTTTAAAGGTTAAAATAAACGGCTATGTTCCGAAAATATTTTAAGTTTTTCCCATCACGACAATAACTACATTCAGATGAATGTTGAAAACGGCTTGTTGTAAAATGCGTTGGTCTCATGGTGACCGCAACGCTCACCATTTTACGTTTTTCTTAACATTTTTCACAATTTTACCTACTCACATTGGCAACTGCGCTAATGTAATCCTTCTTACTACTATTGTATTTAGAATGTTTTACGCAAAATTGTGGTCGAACCGTCAGTCTATTCTAAGTGTTGATTAAACACAGATGTTGAGAAATGAGCGATTAGCTCAACCGCGACTAACGACGTGACGATTTTGGAAAGCTACAGAGCAATTTTTGTTGGTTTTTTTATTGACTGTGTGTTTTAAATTATATAACTTTAAAATATTATTGTGTAATGGATCCTAAAGAAGAGACCAGACTGTTAACCCATTATCTCTCACTGGAAGGTAATGAAAAACCCTTTGGGGACAGCAAACAAAATTTCACTGCAGCGCCTTCTATTGAGAAATAGCAAGAGTTCACTACGGCATAATGTTATTTTACTTTGTTTCCTTCTTAACTTCTAGCGCTGATGTTTCTCAATTTGATCAACTTAATAGCAGGTACAACTTTGTAAGCAAGGTCACGCCTTTGTCTGGAAGAGCGGTACATGCTTTTACTAAAAGACACCTAAAATTAAAATTTCATTTGTAAACATTGTTTATTATACCGAAACGTGTAGTTGTGAGTGTAAGCTATTGTGTTTTTAACAAATTTTATCGAGTTTGGTGAAATTATGTATTACACAAGTTAGGTAAGTTGTGCATCCTCGTTTGGGGACACTGGGCGGAAGCCGTCTATATAAAATACATGTTATTATTTTTACAATACAATTTTTTTATTTTAAATAGGTAAAGAAATAATAAATAAGACTTACTCACAATCAATTTACTTTAATTATCAGACGACCGGTTTCGCTTTCTACACTATGCAAAGCATCTTCAGGTCTCGATACAAAGTTAAATAAATAATGCCGGTACTCTATTAATTGATGGATGGTTCCATGTTCTACCATCCATCAATTAATAGAGTACCGGCATCATTTATTTAACTTTGTATCGAGACCTGAAGATGCTTTGCATATTGTAGAAAGCGAAACCGGTCGTCAGATAGTTAAATTAAATTGATTGTGAGTAAGTCTTATTTATTATTTCTTTACCTATTTGAAATGGACTCACACAAGCAACACATTCATGATTTTTTATTTTAGTTTGTTATGGAAGCAAAACATTTAGCACCAATATCTCCGAAATGTTTTTATAGAAATAAGTATCATCATTTAAATGCTGCTTTACAGGATGTTGCTACAGCAAATATTGAACATGAAGTAGACGTTGTTATTATACCGTCTGATGCTGACCCACAGACCGATGAAGAGGACTTTGGCGAAAATGATTTAGAAGGTGTTGAAAATATATGTCCTACTAATGTAGTTAGTGAAATCGAGTTGCAGCATATAAAGAGCAGTGATGCTGAAGAAAGTGGGGACAAAGACAAGTTGCCACTGTCTGAATGGTTAAAAAACTTGAAATCAAAACAGACCAAAAAAATTAGGATAAGTTAAAAATGGAGTAAACATTTTGTTGACAATAGTATGCCAGCAACTTCCAGTTGGGTTGACCGTTGTGAAATTATAAAAAATGAGTATATATATATATATATATATATATATATATATATATATATATATATATATATATATATATATATATATATTTTCCGCAAATCGCCAGGAAATTTTAACATTCCTGTCAAAATTTCTTGAAGAAAAAGTCAGGACTTCCTTACTGTAAGGAAATGTCATTTCCTTACTATAAGGAAATGATATTTCCGTACAATTGTTAGTTTAAAATTAAAGTTTGACAATTCAACCTCAATACGTTTCCATAGTAACCCAAGTAATTTTATTAGGAATTTCAAAGCACCATTTATTTGGGAATAAAATTATCGCGTTTTTTTTTTAAATCAATCAATATCTGTCGAATTTTAAACGAATTGCGGAAAAATGGTATGATTACCTCGTAGGAAAAGCCACATTCCTGGACTCTGTGTTGCTAAGTCTCGGCTTGCGCCTCGACTTAGCAATCTTTACAGTCGTCTAGGAATGTTAAGCTTTTCCTACCCGGTAAACAATGTACTATTATTAAATTATAGATAATTTTTGACGTCATGTCAAACTGAACTGTATGATTACCTTTTAATTTAACAGCATCCTCACTCATCTAAAAATATTAAATTTTAAAGAACATTTATCATATTTATTTAAGAAAGACTTACCAACGCATTATCCGATAGAAAAAATGGAAAACTTTCACTATCCCTAATAACAAAATTCATAATAGAACTAACTAATTTACTAAATAGAACTAACAAAGAATTAAACAAAAATAATAGAACAATAAAACTATTATTTACTACTATACTCTATATATCTACTACTATAAACAAACATTTACTACAATATATTAAATTATCACAATTCAAATATTATATTTTAAATATACAGGGAAAATTTGATGGGTTTAGTATACACTTAAATACATTTAGAATAATTCTTCTTTTTTCAAAGAAAAAAGTCTGCAATAGTAGTATACTTAGGCTATTAATATTGAGAAGTAGGAATTTTTGTGATGTAGGTTTCCGCATCGAGCAAAAAGACAAAAGAGAGAATCTAATTGTTATGAAACGGAGACCAAAAAAGTGGCCTCTGATGGCGGACATATCCGGAAATGCGAATGCGCCAAATTTAAATTTTCTGAAACTTATTAACAATAGCTATAAACTAGTTTTCAGAATGTGTCTTAGACGAGAAACTTTAAATAAATATTAACGATAACAGTCTAAAATGTGCCACAATTGTTAAAAAACTTCAATATAAATAAGCTTTCATGTGACATTTGGGACAAACAATAACATAACTCAACTAAATTTGATTTATTAAACAAGAAAAGATTCTCTTTCCTTGTTTAATGTGGCCTCTCAAGATGGCATTTCCTGTCTAACGATATTTGTGCCCCCACTACCTTTACATTCCCTCTTTTGCTTTTTGCTCGATGGGTTTCCGACAATGAATCTGTCAAAATATGCCCGAGCTAAGCGAATGGAGTATATTTTATGTTTTATTCCTTTTTGTATTTTGTTCAAAATATTGCCTTTTTTAGCTTTGATAAATAAATCATTATATTTATGCCTTTTGTTTTGTTGACTCATAAAAAGTCAAACTAAGTCAAATACATGACAAGTGAGCTTCACGCTCACCTGCGACTACTGGTGGTTCATTTAACCATGCGACCAACTCAGGATTAAGCTTTAATGTGATGAAAACAAAATGATAGATAAGCAACATATAAGCAAAAATTAACATTTAAAAAAAATTAAAAAATGGATTTAATATAATAAGAAAAATTAGAGATGCATGAATACTCTATAAAACTACTTCTCTAATTTTTACCTTGCTTGGTATTCTTATAAAATTAAGGCATTGTGCATGTCAAGGACAGTGAATAAAAAATTACAGATATTCGTAGCGTTAAAATTTATCACTCCTTGAATTAAAATCAATATGTATTCATATTTTTACAAAATCTAATGAATATCGTTTGATCTCACGATGAATTATTTTTTCACTGACCCACTCGTTCTAATAAACACAAACGTATATAATTTACCTCTAAACTGATTTTGTTTGCATTTATCGAAATATGTTGAAATGAATACGAGAGACGTGTAAAGTACGATGAGTAACCTGAAAAAAAAAAAAGAAAATTAACTTATACTCATTGAACTTTAAGTTACGGCATAAAATATTAAATATGATAAAACTGTGCCATAAATATGTATATAATATATGTATAACGGGGGTAAATTGTCAAACGGACACTCGGAAACTCATTTAAATCTCCCAACTTTAAAGAATCGCTTGGATTGACATAAAATTTGGCTTACGCCTAGCTAAGATGTCAAAGAAAAAAAGATTATGCTTTTGCCCTATGGTTCAGTATCACTCCTTCTCGGGAGTGAAAAAATATATGTTTAAGACAAGTTCGGAAGTACCTAAAATCAGTAATTCTAAACAACTTTTGTTCTATAGAGTTTTTTCACAAGTCAATACTTTTCGAGTTATTGAAAAATAGGTTCTTATTCGTCAAATTCCATGTTGATTATTTCAACGTGAAATAATAAAAAAATGAAGCACTTTTCGACGAAATCTCATTACAACTTTTTTAAAGTGTTTAAAAAAGGTTTATTTTTGTTAAGTTTCTAGCATTAAAGGTAAGCAAGCTATGGCCAAAATATTCAGAAAAGCAAAACCTACATTTTTTTACTCTTTGTGATTTTTAGTGTCACTAATAAATTTTAAGTTATTTAAAAAAAAAGCATTTTTTCGATAATAAATTTTTTTTTAAAAAAATAAGCCCTTTACAAATGAAACTTACAGATCATTATAATAATACAATAAAAACAATGACCAAGGTATTTATTAGAGAAACCAGGACACGCATTGAAATTGCAAGACAAAAATTTATAAAAATGAAAAAAAAAATGTTTGTTAATAGAGATCTTAACTAGTTCTGATGGGAAATAAGCCACAATTTTACTAAAAAAAAATTATTTTATTAACGTTTCGACGCCCAATTCGGGTGTCGTCAAAATACAAATAAAATAATAATGAATTAAACAAAAATGTTGCTTAGTAAAAAAATTCTTCTAATAATTTATTTAATCTGACTCATTTATATTGGCAATTCAGACATATTATACATTTTTAAGTAAAAGACTTTAAAATATTATTGCCAATATTTATGAGTTGCATCACCATTGCATGTGCTTGTCTTTTTAAACTATCTTTCAATAAAGTCAAGGAGCGCTACTTATTTTAAATAGCAATATCATTTTAAAATCTCCTATTTTAAAATGTTGAATATATGTCTGGATTGCCGATATAAATGAGTTAGATTAAATAAATTATCAGAAGAACTTTTTTACTAAGCAACAACATTTTTGTTTAATTCATTAATAATTTTTATATTTTGACAACGACACCCGATTTGGGCGCCGAAACTTTAATAAAATCATTTTTTAATAAAATTGTAGCTTATTTTCTATCAAAACTAGTTAATTGCAATAACGCCACAAGAAAATAGCTTTAGAACAAAATCGAGATCTTCCTCTGGAGCTGATGATAAGAGCCTTAAGATGCTATGTGTTCTCGACGTTGTTACATGGAATTGAAAGCTAGACACTAAAAGTAGACAATATAAAGAAAATGGAAGCATTTGAGATGTGGTGCTATAGAGAGATTTTGAAAATACCTGGATCTAACGAGCTACAAAAGCAAAAGTGTTAAGGTTATAATGTTAGAAAAGGATTGTGAGGTGATAAAGAACATCAAAACAAGAAAGCTGGAATATTTAGGTTACAATACCGAAGGTGCGAAATATGAAATATTGGGCTTATAATGCAAGGTAAAATTAAGGGTAAAAGATCCATAGGTAGAAAAAAATATTCCTGGCTTAGAAACTTAAGAGAGTGATATAGTTGCAGCTTAATAGATCTTTTCAGAGCAGCCGCCAATAAAGTACAGATAGCAGGGGTGATGGCCAACCTTCGATAGGAGAAATAACTTCGACAAAAATAGGATATAAATGTTGTTGTGATAGTAACGTTGTACTATAAAAAATTGCCAATTTATTTAGAAATGGCAATATAGAAGTTAATTATATTCTATGCAAAATAAAAAATTGTATAGAGGTTTACTAAAATCAATATAATCTACTGTTTGATCGCATACTTTTTACATTTAAAAATTTTCTGAGGACTATCTGGAATTACGTCATCGAGGTTTTAAAAGCAAGTAGTGGTGCGTATAGTAGCCTCGAATTTCCGTGAAACTGTGCAAAAATATATGTATCTGTAATAAAATCATTCAACAAAAAGGTACTCTACCAGGAGTCAGTAAAATTATCAATGACTCAGACGTATAATAATACAAAGTTTCCAGATTCCACTCGATATTAACATTCAGACGTGCCTGGTATAATCTTTTAAAATATGAACTAGATATGAACAATCAACCAATTAAGTTTTCATCGAACTTATGACAAGTCCACGTAGACTAACGGCCAATGAAAACATCGGATATCGCTGTTAGGACAAATCATAATGCATTATCTTTTGTCGGTAGACTTATTCATACTTGGGGTAAGTTTATATCAGTATTTGACTGAGCTTACGGAGTCATAAAATAAGGGATCGGGTTTCGACCGTCCAGTGCCGAAGGCACGGGACGGGGACAAGTTAGGTAGGCAAATTTTTATAATATTTAATTTTTAAATTGCGGATATAAACAACAGATTTTTGGGAGACAAGAATATTTTTAGTAAAATCATAACTGCTACAGCGTTCAGTTAAATTCAAATTTCAAATAGTGAACCGCAAGTTAGTTTGGTAGTGACTTTTTTCAGTGTTCTTTATACGGAAAACATTTTATATTTTACGTTTTTTACTTTTTTTGATCCGTTTTTACGTGATTATGTTTTTATACGTTTGATAATTTTAAAATATTGCGTCCGTGGTTAATAATTATGTAGCTGAATGGAACCCTCTAATCGATTGGAAGATTTACAAAAGCATGTAGTAAAACGTAAGCGACATTTTCAATACCTGTCTGATGATGCCAAACGTTTGCTAAAAAATGTTTATGAAGGACTGTGTGCTGAATTGTCTAAATCAGAGGCAATTGCAGAAACATGGTTTTTAACCAGAGTGCCCAAAACAACCTGCTACAAAATTATAGGAGAAACATCTTCTTCTAGACATAAGAGAAAGGATTGTGACAAATTCAGAAAAATAGAACCGCACTTAATTGAATCTATAACTAGAACAATATACCAAATGTATGCGGCTACTATTTTTCCAACTATTGAAAGCCTTCGAAGTGAATAAGTTCGAAAGTGCATTCTCTCGTGTTCAGCAACAACACTTCGATTATTCCTTAAAGCCAATAATTTTAAGTACAAAACTATAGACAAGAGACAGACATTGATGGAAAGTACTAGAATAATTTCTTTAAGAAACAATTATATTAGACAGATAACTGAGTATCGAAAAATGAAACGAAATATTGTTTATTTAGATGAGACCTGGTATGATACTCATGACACCGTGAAAAAAAGTTGGACAAATAAAAACAAAAAGTGTTTCAACTCAGTACCGCCCAATAAAAGAAAGAGGATTATAATTTTACACTACGGTTGAGAAAATGGATGGGTCGACGATGCATTATTAATATCTGCAAAACAAATTAAAAACGCGTCTCTGGATTATCATGACGACATGGAAAGTTCAATTTTTGAATCATGGTTTAAAAAATGTCTTCTTCCGAAATTACTTAAAGATAATGTGATTATCATGGACAACGCATCATATCATTCAAGATTAATGAAAAAAACTTCAAATAATAGTTGGAATAAATTAAAAATTCAGGATTTTTTATTCACGGAAGATTTGTATTTTAAGACGTCTTATATTAAAAAGCAATTGTAGGAGGTTGTTCATAGTAAACAATACAAAAAGGAATATGTTGTTGACAACTATGCTCGTAGTAACGGGCATACTGTGTTTAGACCTTCTCCTTATTATTGTACATTGAACCCAATAGAGTTATAATGGGCTCAACTTAAAGGAAATATAATGAGAAGAAACGTTGCTCCAAAATTTTTTGTCTACTGTTCTCCAGTTAATTAGAAGAGAAGTCACAAAAATTACAGCAACCAACTGGAAAAAGGTAATAAAAATAAAACATGTAATCGAAGTGAAAAATAACTATGTTATGTTAAATATTTACCAGCATTAACGAAATTACATATAAAATTAGATGATACGAGTAATACTAGTGATAACAGTGATTTTGAGTAGATAGTTAGTACTTATTAGGTGTTAGTTGAAACCTTTATTTCTATTTTAATTGTAGATATTCTCATTTTGCTTGTATATCTTTGAAAACAGGGTATAAACCATCCAGCAAAAAGACAAAAGAGGGAATCTAATCCTTATGAAAAGGAGACTAAAAAAGTGGCCTCTGATGGCGGACATATCCGGAAATGCGCCAAATTTAAATTTTCCGACACTTATTAACAGTAGCTATATAATATTTTTCAGAATGTGTCTTAGACGAGAAAGTTTTAATTAATTATTAATGGTAATAGTCTAAAATGCAAAACACAATTTTTAAAAAACTTAAACAATATAAATAAGATTTCATGTGACATTTAGGACAAACAATAACATAACCCAACTAAATTTGATGTCAAACAAGGAGAGAGACTCTCTTTCCTTGTTTAATGTGGCCTCTAAAGATCGCACTTCCTGTCTAACAATATTTTTGCCCCCACTACCTTTACATTCCCTCTTTTGTCTTTTTGCTCGATGGTGTAAACACACTTCTTGATTGGACAAAAATTATTAATGTTTTAGGTGAGGATGTCTACTGAAACTGTCACTGTCATTCTCGCTGAATAACTACTATTATTAATAATGTTTTATATAGATATTATTATTTTACAATAAGTTCTGTTCAGTCGAGTCGATTAGTGTTATCACTCCCAATATATATCACAGAAGTTAAAAACACCGATATTTTTTATTTAAACTTTCTAGAAAATGAAACTTTTTGGTAAATAAAATTAAATAAAAGTAAAAACTTTTATTTAATTTAAAATTAGATATCTACGCTACTGTTCTACT